TGAGTTATCCAAGCCGGTAATACCACCGCTGCGTAGCAGATGTTACGCAACAGTGAGGGAGACACTGAGGAGGAGACAAGCCCTCCGGCACCGAACAGATACTGCATCTACAGCGGGGAAAACCTCTTCTCCTCTTCTGCCAATCCCCCCGGAAGAATCTGGAGACAGAGCCCCTTCTTCCTTCTCTGTCCATGTAGCGTGAAGAACTGGATTTCTTTCGCCACTTACATTGTAAGTACATTTCAATACTATTGTCCTCGATTCCTACTAGCAAACGCAGTATTCAGCTAACTAAATTCGGTCGAGACATGTCGTTGTAGTGAGTTGTGAGTCGCTTATCATCCGCTATCGAAAACTGCATATCAAGCCAATGTCATGGTCTGTTGATGTTTGACTGTCTACCCAAGTGGGGAGCTGCTGTCCGTTCCATGTCTGTAGTCATCTTCTACGTGACTAAGGTTCTATCGTGCTCCAATCTATTCACTTGCTTTGCTACGGTGGACCTGCCATGAGATAATCTCTCGCCATGACATTTCTCTTCGTCCTCGGAACACTTCAGCCTCTCGAACATGATGAATTTCCTTCTTCCTTCCCTGCCCGATATTAACCCTCCCCACTCAGTAAGGTTTTGACACAAGGTCAGTTTTTAACGTGGCGACACGAGTGTCTTCACTAGGGCCGCTGGTCTAAGATTGTATAAAATGGTCATAGCTGGTCTGAGCTAGTCATAGCCAGTCATACCACCGCTACGTAACAGATGTTACACAACAGTGAGGGAGACACAAAAGGACGAGAGAAGGCCTCCGGCACGGAACAGATACTGCATCTGTAGCGGGGAAAACCCCTTCTCCTCTTCTGTCAATCCTCCCGGAAGAATCTGGAGACAGGGCCCCTTCTTTCTTCTCTGCCCATGTGGCATGAAGAACTGGATTTCTTTCGCCACTTACATTGTAAGTACATTTCAGTACTAGTGGTCTGGATTCCTGCTAGCAAACCGAGGATTCAGCTAACTAAACTCGGTCTAGCCACGTCATTGTAGTTGGCTGACTGGCTTATCATCTGCTATCGAAAACTGCATATCAAGCCAATATAATGGTCTGTTGATGTTTGACTATCTACCCAAGTGGGGAGCTGCTGTCCGTTCCATGACTGTAGTCATCTTCTACGTGACTAAGGTTCTATCATAATCCAATCTATTCACTTTTCTTGCTAGGTGGGACCTGCCATATAATTGTCTTGCTAGGTGGGACCTGCCGATATAATTGTCCTCTCGGTACTCGGAGCACTTCAACCTCTCGACTACATGGACAATTAGCTTCTTCTTCGTTTTCTGCCCATCTGGCATGAACAATCGGATTACTTTTTTCGCCACTTACATTTTCGCCACGCCACAATACATTTCCGTACTAGTGTTCTCAATTCCTACTAGCAAACGGAGTAGTCAGCTAACTAAATTCGGTCGAGCCATGTCGTTGTAGTGAGTTGTGAGTCGCTTACCATCCACTATCGAAAACTCCATATCAGGCTCTAATCTATTCACTTGTCTTCATTGGTGGGACCTGATATGACATAAACAGCCGATATAATTATTTAACCTCTCAACCGCATGGACAATTTTCTTCTTTTTCCCTTTGGCACTTATATTATAAGTAAAATCTAGTACCAGTGGTCAGATCTCCTGTCAGAAAAAACGCAGTATTTAGCTAACTAGAATTAGTCGATCTCCGCCGTTTTAGTTGGCGTCATCGCCTATCATCAGCCATTGATCACTACATATCAATCAAGGTACCTGTCTGTTGATGCTTATATGTCTATTCAACTGGAGAGTTCTAGATATGATCTAGGTATTTTTGTCATTGAGGTTTGCTTCACTAGGTGACTTCCTTCTTTTTCCCGCTGTGTCTTTTTTTTTTCTTTTTGTATTTCCTTCGTAAAGCGTAGCCATTCCTTCCTTCCATATTTCATTCTTCCAATCGATTACTTCTTTCGTTTTGTTCTATTCATTCCTGTGTGTATGTCCTTCTTACAGTCGATCCTTCATTTTTCAATTTCTTTCTCCTTTCATTCCTTATTTAATTCTTTCCTTCGTCCTTTACACTTTCATCTTTTTCTCCTTTCTGTAGTTCCTTCATAAAACTTACCATTAACTTCCTTCTCCCCAGTCTTCATACTCCGTTTGTTCCCCCTATATATATATATTTATATATATATATATATATATATATATATATATATATATATATATATATATATATTATGAAATGGACAAAATCCGACAATTATTTTAAGACGTTTTTAAAATAATTGTCGGATTTTGTCCACTTCATAATGTGTGACGTCATTTGTTTACATTTCGATTCTCTTTGAGCAGATATGAATGCACGTGAGAGATTCATGGAAGATTGAAGTTTTTTTTTTATTTATTTCTAATTTATTCATTTGAAAATAATAAAAAAAAATATTTCTTCTTTAGAGAAAAATTTCTTATGAACGTTTTCCTGTTTCAAAAGCAAATGATGTTTACACGTATGATCTTCCTTAGTGAAAATCGCCAATGGTTTAAAATATTGGCAACGTTAGTTTCCTCTCAAGTTTGCAAAATTCAAGAAACATTGTACTTAATGCTTGTCTATGTATGCGATTATGTATGAAAGAATGCGTGAGTGAACAAGTGAGAACGATTTAAAATAACATTTTAAGAAACTTTATTTTGTTTATGAAAACATGCCATTTAAAAAGACCAAATGGGTCGCATGTGGCCCGGGGGCTGCAGTTTCCTCATGGCTGACATAGAAGGATATGACTACACAACCAAGAAATTTAAATTAATCAGTTTCAGTATATCTAGATATTAAATTAGGTTGCTTAGGTCATTGAAAATGTTCATGCCCGATAAGAAAAGTGAAACCCAAATTTTACGTATCCAAAAAACAAAACATTTATTAGTATTAGCCATTGTTTTTTAACAACTGGTTTTCATCGTTCTTGATGATATCATCTTCGTAGAAGCATCATTCTTTTTTTATTTATTTATTTTGATTCAATTTCATTTTTCGTATCTTTTTTCAATAGAGAAGACTATATGCGTAACCATATACTTTAGAAATGGTAGGAAAGTTTTATTTTATTTTGGTCTAATATTATCACTGATGACAGCGTAATTAAAATATGTCACAGCATGTGATTTATTTCTAATTTATTCATTTGAAAATAAAAAAAATATTTCTTCTTTAGAGAAAAATTTCTTATGAATGTTTCCTGTTTCAAAAGCAAATGATATTTACACATATGATCTTCCTTAGTGAAAATCGCCAATGGTTTAAAATACTGGCAACGTTAGTTTCCCTTAAAATTAGCAAAATTCAAGAAACATTGAAGAAAAATGCTTGTTTATGTATGCAATTATGTATTCTTTTATGTATTGTACAAATACTTTGCCACCCAATAAATTGGATATAACTTTACAACGAAAAAATTTAAATTTATCATTTTCAGTATAAGTAGATATTAAATTAATTTAATTAGATCATTGCAAAAGTTCATGCCCGATAAGAAAAGTCAAACCAAAATTTTACGTATCCACAAAATAAAATATTTATTAGCCATTATTTTTATTATTATTATTAGCCATTGTATTATAATTTTTTTAGGAACTATTTCCCATCGTTCTACAAGCTCGATGATGCCATCTTTATATTGTTCTGTAGAGACCGGAAAAAAAATGAAAATCCGAAGTAGCTAAGCCAGATTTCGGTAGGTGCTGGAGGGTCTTCCCCTTTCAGTTCTTTAAACTTTGTGTCAGGAGATTTCGGTAGGTGCTGGAGGGTCTTCACGTTTCAATTCTTTAAACTTTGTCTAAGATTTATTTTGCAACACGAGGTCTTCAGTTGTCGTAAAAGAAAATGACACATTTCCAATTTGCCAAAATCGGTCTTTTTTGTTGTTGTTGTTGATGCTTTTTTACCCAAACTCTCTTCAAGTGGCAAAAAGGCAGTTGAGCTATCGATTTTCAAACTCTTAGCAATCTCTTCCGTCGAAATGTATCTGTTTATTCTCCACGATGACAAAGCAGATCGTCTTACTTGGCGTCGGAATGTCTCCTAGGAGCATTGTTGACCGTTTCACTTAAAAGTTCTGATTATTTTTTTTGGGGGGGGCATGTGGAGGTGGTAAAGATATAGGTTTATGGTATGCTATATTTATGGCGGAAGTGCTCTCTATCAGGGATACAGCGTGTGTTAATAAAATAGTGAACACAGAGTTCAACACCGCGTGACAACATGCTTGAACACATGGCCTGAAGATGGTGTGCACGCATAAAACAGACAAATATTCGTACACAAACAATTTGTATTTCCAACTAATGAATAAACAATATTTTCGTATAATTAATTGTACACAGATGCATAATAACTGAATATGCATAGAAAACAGAAAAATTGATTAAATAAAAATAAATCCCATATCTATATTTTAACTGGTGAAAAAATATACGTACAATACAAAAAAGAATACATAATCTTCATTTAATACTAATAGCCATTATTCACTTCTACAGCAACAAACCTCTTCTTTTAGTTCTCAGTTAATGATATGCAAATTTAACATGGTATTTTGTCCCATTCTTCTTCGTATATGGTTTTCAGATCCGGGATGTTACTTCGTGAGGCATATAATTTCTTTCTTTCTTTCTTTCTTTCTTTCTTTCTTTCTTTCTTTCTTTCGTTCGTTCGTTCTTTATTTTATACAGGCTTCTTCTTCAATCTTTCTTTCCTCCTCCCGCTTCTCATCAATTCCTTCGTTAATTAATTCATACAATTTCTTTCTTTTTTTTTCCCTCTCTCTAACGTGCCTTTCTCGCAGTCAATCCTTACTCTCCTTAGCACGGAGACGAGCATAATAGCGATTGTAAATTCAAACTTGCGCCAAAAGAGACTCTGTCCCGATGGTCATCAGGCGAGGACTAGCTAATAGATATCTATTTATATTGATATTAGGCAATGCGCCCGATCAATTGCCACGCAGCTGAATACGACAGGAACAAACATGGCCGCCAGTTAGAGCATTTAACCTCACAAAATTGCCGCCAGCGGGCGCAGGACAAATTCCTGTGGATATCGGTGCGATGAAAAGGAGTGATATTGTCACCTGAACTGTCGCTTAACCCCTTACACCCTGTTATAGCATCCGTTCCTTCCCGTCTTCTTATTTGTACTTTCTTTGTATAGCTCTTTCCATGTTTGCTTCACTCCTTCGTTTCTAATGGAATTTTTCATACATACACACGCACACATACATACATACGTATGTGTGTGTGTCTGTGGCTTGACGATTGCGTGTAAGGGTGAAACAGACTGCCGCCGCTGAGTGTTGACTTAATTGTATGCTTTTATATTTCCATACTGATATTAACGCTTTAACCCATAAATATAGCATAGCTTAAAGCTATATTATGACATATATATAGTTAGCTTAAAAATGTTAACACTCCATATATATATATATATATATATATATATATATATATATATATATATATAAATTGAACATTGATGTCAAAAGTCAAAGGCGACAGGCTGTTTCATGCTGGACGCAATCGTCAGACCGCCTGAAGATTGCGTCAAGTATGAAACAGCCTGTCGCCTCTGAGTGTTGACTTCAATGTTCAATATTATGCACATATACGCTCTATCGTTGATATTGTTCATTTTATCCCATAAATAGAGCCCACCTTAAAATTATATTTCTTCATATATATATATATATGTGTGTGTGTGTGTGTGTGTTTTTGTGTGTGTGTATATACACATACATACATATATATATATATATATATATATATACATACATATATATATATATATACACTCATACATATTTATATATACATACATATATATATACATACATATATTTATACATACATTCATATATATATATACATACATACATACATACATGTACATACATATATTTATACATACATTCATATATATATATATATATATATACATACATATATATATATATATATATATATATATATATATATATATATATATATGAAAGTGACCACTGAAGTCAGAGACCTCAGACCACATGACGATTGCGTCTAGTATGAAACAGCCTGTCGCCTCTGAGTGTTGACTTCAATGTTCACTTTTATATTTATATTTACATACGCTCTGTCTCTGATATTGAGCACCTTATCACATAAATATAGCACACCTTGAAACTATATTTCTACACACACACACACACTATATATTCATACATGTTTCATTAAATAATATAGACAAATGTTGTCTATTTATTTTATGTAAATTCTACTAACGGCATCCCATACTTCACTCTCGCGTGGTCATGTGTGACGTCATGAGATGCGGTGCGATTTTCGTTTCTAGGGTCTTATATGCACGTGCTTGTCGTTGCTTAGAAATCATCTATGACAGACTATCATGACTGTCTTGTCCGTATATTGCTTAATATATTGTAATTGTCATCTTTGATAATGGCTTATGTAAGCCGAAAGCTTAGATTGTATTAAAAAAATATGGATCAATATTGTGAATTTCTTTCTTCGTTTAACGATAATGTTATTTAACTTATCAGACGTTAGGAAAAAATTTACATAAAATAAATAGACTACACTTGTCTATATTATTTAATGAAACGTGTATAAATGAAAAAATGCTGCCTAAATACACTATATATATACATATACCGTCATTCACAGACAGACTGTTTCGCAGCTCATCAGTGTGGCTAGATATCCGGTTGCCTCCAGCCAGGGTCGAAACCCGACTGAACGGATGTCAGTCGGAGATTCTAACCATTAAGCCATCGGCGCACGGTAGGGAGGGGGGTGATTTTTAGCGTGTTTATCTTTATAAACACGCCAGTGACCGGGAGTGACTCAATTCGCATTAGCGAAGAGTCTCGCTATATAGCTATAATAGTCACTGTTTACCAACCCACATCTCCTTATATATATATATTGTCATCCACAAACAGACTGTTTCTCTGTATCACAGTTCATCAGTGTTTCTAGACATCCAATTACCGACTGATTCGGCATCTCTCGGAGATGTTTCCCCTAAGCTCTCGGCTCTGGAAGTGATAGGAAGGTGATTTTTGACGTATTTGTTTTGCCAGTGATTCTAAGTGCTCGATTCATAGAAGAGCTTTATACTTATAATTATTTCTAAAGGTAAAAGCTCTACATGCTGAACGGATGTCAGTCGGAGACATCGGCGCACGGTATGATTTTAGCGTGTTTTTTTTAAACACGCCAGTTTGTTTTCGCATTAGCGAAGAGTCACGCTATATAGCTATTAGTCAGTTTACCAACCCACATCTCCTTATATATATATATTGTCATCCACAAACAGACTGTTTCTCTGTATCACAGTTCATCCTAGACATCCAATTACCGACTGATTCGGCATCTCGGAGATGTTTCCCAATTTGGAAGTTAGGAAGGTGATTTTTATATTTGTTTTAAGTGATTCTATTTATTCATAGAAGAGCTTTATACTTATAATTATTTCTAAAGGTAAAAGCTCTACATGCTATTTTTTGTTTTTTTGTTTTGTTTTTTTCACACGTGTATTGAGCACTTTTTGATGTCTACTGTTTCCTGGTCCAATTCAACCCTGACAATTTTATTTATTGTATATATATAATTTTATTTACGGACAGCGGTATTATACTCCATTTGTTCTCATTTTATATATATATATATATATATATATATATATATATATATATATATATGTGTGTGTGTGTGTGTGTGTTTTAAGACATTTTTATGTTTATACATTCTTTTTATAGATATAAATATTTTAAGTAAATGCTCTGTTTATAATAAACAGTATTAAACAACATTTACAGGCCTGAATGTCCGAGAAATTTTCACAGAGAATATTCGTCCTCCGACATGATTCGAACCTGTATCCTATACGGAACCGTCATTTAGCTTGAGGTGCCTTTACCGATTTAGCCACGAAGCAAGGTCGAATTTAGTGTATTTAAACTTCATTCTTCCATCAATCTCTCACCTACATTCATATCTGCTCATGGTGTATCAAATGTAAACAAATGACGTCACACATTATGAAATGGAAAAAGTCCGATAATTATTTTAAGACATTTTTTATGTTTATACATTCTTTTTATAGATACAAATATTTAAGTAAATGCTCTGTTTATAATAAACAGTATTAAACAACATTTACCGGCCTGAATGAGCCTCACTCTTGCTCCATATGCGGCATCCTTTGTCAAAGGTATTAAGTGTCACTTAAGATTATCGCACAAAATTTTATAACTGAGTCAAGTAAGCTGTCAGATACTCATAGGTCGAAACCGACGGGAGAGTCCAATATATATATATATATATATACTATATTTTAGGAAATTACATCGACAACATGTTAAAATAAAACGCTACACAAATGCAGTCGTGTTTCGATGCGAATCAACACATCTCATCAGGCATTAGTAAATAACTGGTGAGTAGACAAATTTATTGAAATTTAAAATCAAGATACACCCTCTTTTCGCGAGAAAAGGAAGAAAAAGAAAAAATGTAAGAAAGAAAGGAGAGGAGATTGTAAAAGTGTTTGTTTTATTTTTCTCAGATCAACCAATTTCAGTTGAAAGTATGGGGAGAAGTGATGGTTTGAGATGCGTTGATTTGTGTAGCGTTTTATTTTAACATGTTGTCGATGTAATTTCCTAAAATATATATACAAAGACAGATAAATAGATATGAATAAGCTAAATCATTATAGATAGAATAACAGATAAATAGATAGATAGATAGATAGATAGATAGATAGATAGATAGATATGAACTGACTGGGATACGTAAATATTTAGTTTCGCTGCCTCAAAATGAGGTGTTTGGATACTGAAATCCCACAAGACCTTGCCTTGGTCGTTTTCGGTCGTTTCCTTTGGCTTGTTTCGGCACCATTTCTCGTCTATTCTTCTTATATAGGAACTAATTCAGATGAGAGGACACTTTATAATTATTTTTTTAGATATTAATAATAATAAAACCCATAATATTGATTATTGTTTATGCTAACAGTTCAAATTAGCCCTAAATAAAAATGGCAATCGATTTTTGTTTTTTTTTTTTTGTTTTTTTTTTGACGCACGATTGAATATTTTTTTATTTTCATTTTTGATTAAAAAAAATTGTTCACGTCGCGTATTAATCGAAAACGTTAATTGGGGATTTTCCTGTGCAACATAACAGAATACTGAGCGTGGAAAAAATGACTTAAGCCGTTTTTGTATTTACGGCACGGCTGAAAGGTCACGGGTTCAGGAACTACTTTCATTCGACATCCACATCAAATATAGTCTTGTCTTTTTTCAGACAAAAGCAATGATATGTTATCCCTCTGTTTTGTCATTTTCGAAAGTTATATATCTATCTATATATCTATATTTGTTCATATCTATCTATCTATGTCTGTTCATATCTATTTCTATATCTATCTATGTTTGTTCATATCTATCTATCTATCTATCTATCTATCTATCTATCTATCTATCTCAGACTGTTTAAATCTATCTATCTCTCTATGTCTGTTCGTATCTATCTATCCATGTCTGTTAATATCTATCTATCTATCTATCTATCTGAATTTGTTTATAACTATCTATCTATCTCAGTTTGTTTCTATCTATCTATCTATCTATCTATCTATCTATCTATCTATCTGAATCTGTTTATATCTATCTATCTATCGATCTATCTATCTATCTATCTATCTATCTATCTCAGACTGTTTAAATCTATGTCTCTCTCTATGTTCGTATCTATGTCTATCTATCTATCTATCTATCTATCTGAATCTGTTTATATCTATCTATCTATCTATCTATCTATCTATCTATCTATCTCTCTATCGCAGTTTGTTTATATCTATCTATCTATCTATCTATCTATCTCAGACTGTTTAAATCTCTCTCTCTCTCTATGTTCGTATCTATCTATCCATGTCTGTTAATATCTATCTATCTATCTATCTATCTATCTGAATCTGTTCATATCTATCTATCTATCTATCTATCTATCTATCTATCTATTTGAATCTGTTTATATCTATCTATCTATCTATCTATCTATCTATCTATCTATCTATCTGTATAAAGATAATGTTTTGGAACTGAAAACTTCCTTGACTCTGCTGTGCTGTTTTTTCATTTTGTAGTTTACTTGTGAATCAGTTAAATCCCTTTCATTTCTTGACCGTCGCTTTGGTCATCTTACTACAATTAGTAGTTGTAGTAGTAGCAGTAGTATTAATTATTATTATTATTATTATTATTATTATTATTATTATTATTATTATTATTATTATTATCTATGATTTCCGCTGTTTTCTTTGCGGTGTTGGGGATTGGGGTCTATTCTTAGAATCTTTTACTTGCAACAGATATTTAATTCGTAGAATCCAAATATTTAATTCTTTAGAATTCTTTTATTTGCAGCAAAATCACTTCGATCTTTGCTGACTCATTTGTAACAAAATCACTTTTTATTTAATTGGAATTTTTGTTACATTTATTTGAAAGAAAAGCAAAGGATAGAAATTTGGAGAACTTAAAACAGAACAAAAACACAAATGTTTGATGTTATGTTCTAACTAAAGAAATTTGGCAAAATTTCTTGGCATTTTTTCAGTCCCCAAATTGGATGTTCTTTCTTAAAGTGAACAATCATCTCGAGTTGAAAATTTGACAACTGCGACAACCTGGAACAGCCATTGGTTAAAAAGATTATATGTTCGTTATTTTTTTTACTTCATTCATCTAATAAAATATACAGTATTTTTTTTATATGTCTATTTATAAAAAGCAGGATGTGTGTGTGTGTGTGTGTGTGTGTGTGTCTGTAACGAATGCACGGCCGCAATTTTCGACAGATTTGCACCAAAATTTACATGCACATGCTCCAAGTTAGCGGGAAGGCCAAGACCGACTTTGCATTCTTTAATATAGTGGAAATAATCGATTTTTTCATGCTTCTACGGCAGTTTTCATGTAGTTTGCGTCCATTTTCTCCTGGCCAGAGTGAGAGCCTATAGCTGGCTGCCACGAATAGGCAAGAAGATTATATTGGCCAGCGTGAGAGCCAACAGCTGACTGACACGAATGTTAACTAGTAAAAAAATCGATAGCTGCATTCGTCACAAGTGGGAAAAATTTAAATCTGCATGGCACTTTACTCCAATTGGCACATTCTCTTGCTTAAATTCAACGTTGATTCTGATTCCGCAGAACTGGGTTGGGTGTGAAAAAGTATTTGTGGTTAACATTCTTTTTTTCATTCGGTTTTTCCAGTTACGAGTCCTTTTTTAAAGCTGATCGTTTTGTGTTCATTTTGTTTAGTTCTTTTTTCGTAACAGATTTAATGTTTAGTATAGAGCTTAGAAAAAATTCGCAGTGTGAGATAGGCAAGAAGTAAGGCATGTATCAACATCAGCACGGCAAAGGGCACTCCTTTAAAGGCAAGGAAGGGCAAAAATATTTTAATTCAAGTGATAGCGATTGCTGTATGAGTCGTACGATTTTTGAATCAAACACGGGCAACGCCGGGCCATGATGCTAGTGTTAGTTAATTTTTTTATTTAATTCATATAGTAAAATATATTGTTATTTTTTATATCTTAGTTAAATTTATTTCATTATAGAGTTAATTTTTTATATTTTAGTCATATTTTTAGTTCATTCATATAGTAAAATATATTATTTTTTTTATATCTTAGTTATTTTTTTTGTTTCATTCATATTTTAAAATATAGTTATTTTTTATGTTATTCATATTTTAGTTCATTCATATAGTAAAATATATTGTTGTTTTTTATATCTTAGTTATTTTTTTATTTCATTCCTGTCGTAAATTATAGAGTCATTTTTTTTATATGTTAGTTATTTCTTTAGTTCATTCATGTAGTAAAATATATTGTTACTTTTTATGTCTTAGTTAATTTTTTATTTCACTCCTATTGTAAATTATAGAGTCAGATTTTTTATGTTAGTTATTTTTTTAGTTCATTCTTATAGTAAAATATATTGTTATTCTTTTATATCTTAGTTAAATTTTTATTTCATACATATAGTAAATTATATTTAATTTTTTATGTTATATTTATATGTTATTTTTTTATATTTTAACTAATATTTTTTCATCATATAGTAAATCTATAATTTCCTGTTTTATTTGGGGCACACTGTATAAAAACCTTTGCTGGTCGTCTCATCTTTTCATTTTTTTTTCTTTTATTGCATTTCTTTTGTGGCACGCATGACAACTTACATAAGTAATAAGGTAATCGTTCTACGTAACGCGTTCAATCGAAATAAGTTCTTCATAATTTGTTGCATTTGAAATTTCTTGCGAATATCACTACGTTCTTTTTTTTTTATCCTTTTATAATTTGTCTACATGTTGACGTCGTTGTTATTTTCTTGGGTGCTAGGAACATGACTAAAATATTTAAAAAAAAAAAAAAAAAAAATAGAAAACAAGTTAAACAATAAAAACAAAAATAAACAATAAATGTTAATATAGCAGACATGACTGGTGGATGATAATATTATACCGGACGCCCTGCACCGGAAGTTATCTGCATAAAAGATTTACCAAAGGAAATCAGCAAGCGGAAGCGGAATATTCCATTTCGACAATATTTTGTTTATGTCATCGCGACAGACGCCGGTTTCTGTCGCCGAATTTACAAAAGCATTATAAATAAAGCCATTGTTGTCAACCCGTGTGCTGTTTCTAGATTCAGCGGAGGAGTTCGCGCTTCTATGCGCAGATGCGGCGGACATATTGACACTTTCGTGTAAAGTGTCAATATGTCCGCCACATCTGTCCATGTAATGCAAGTTTATTCATGAGCTAAACGCTTCTAAAGACAAATTTATTCGAACAGGTTTTGGTCTGTGTTATGGTCACAATAGAATAAAAACAATCGATTGAGACTTGTTAATAGCAGAAATGAAATATATTCTGTGATACAAGCATGTATAAGAAAATGACTTGATTTTGTTTAGGAGTTTAATAACCCTCATTTCAATTTCAAACATTTTCTTGAATTTCATTGGTTGTTAAATAAAAATAATGTGACGGTTACACACCTGGCCCAGGGTCGGATCCTTTGGTTACGGCGCCAACGGTGACGTCGCTCCTCCTGGTCGCTCCTCCTGGGTCCAAGCGTGCCGCTCCAACCCCTTGGTCAGATGATCACCAGCCTCGCCTTTCCCGACTCGCTTCCAATACCTGGTCACTAAAGCAACTGTACCGATCTCCGGTCTGTCTACCCACGCTGTGTTTAGATCTTAGACAGACGGGACCAGCAGGATTGGGGCCGATACAAGTTGAGTCCGACGGGGTGGCAAAACACAAATAAAAGAGAAAATAAACTCACGAGACAAAAAAGATTGTTGATGAAAAAAAAATGGGTAACAACCCTTTATATCTTAATGTCCGTTACATAAAAAACAAAATTGTTCTCATTTCCCAACCCGCTCTGTGGACTATGGCACTAAGCTTCTCCTATCACACAACCTAAAGATTTCGAATTGCCTACTCTTTAGAATTGTGTATGTCGGAGTGTGGTTTGGTTCGACACTGGGGCTAATTTCTATCGATCATTCGCAGTTGATTCTTCTCTTCGACTTGAGTTGTATTTCTTCTTCTTCGTCGACTTAGGCTGGAAGTTCTTTGTCTTCGACTTGGGCTGGAAGTTCTCTTGTCTTCGACTTGGGTTGTATTTCTTCTTCTTCGTCGACTTAGGCTGGAAGTTCTCTTGTCTTCGACTTGGGCTGGAAGGATCTCTTGCCGCAACTCAGCCGCAACTCTCTGTCGTCCGAGGTGATCTCTTCTCGCTGCCGTCCGGGGCTGAACTCTTCTGTCTTCGACTTGGGCTGGAAGGATTTCTTGTCTGAGGATTTCTTGCCCGCAAAGGGGCGAGTGAATCGGGTTTGATGGCCGCGTTCAGGCTCTATCCCTGCCCGCGGTCCAGCTGCAACTCTCAACTCCAACTGATTTCTGTCGACTGGGGTCCTGCTTTTTATTGACGCCGCAACAAACCGGGGTGGGTCCGTCGGCGCCAGGGTTTTTCTCGATAATTCCAAAAGTCGCATTATTTTTGATTTCATTATCGCTATTGTTTTCACCCCTACTTCCTCACAGTGCCTTTTGTGGGAGGTGCACCCATCTCTCTTAGTCTCGTATGTCAGGTGACCGTTTTTCGACCAATGGTTCCTGATCGGGCATTTCTTTCTTCTTTTCTGCAGATCACGTGACCGTTTCCGACCAATTGTTATTGATCGAGCATCCTTTCTCCTCCTTTCGGGCGTGGTTACATCGTTCTTGTTTTAAAAAACCAAAATCCAATTTTGCCCTTTCTGCACGTACGAAAATGACACTCATGGCTCTCTCTCACCTGGGCTCTGTCAACCAGCCCGCCGCTAATTAGTTGTGACTTCAGGAAAGAATATTGTCGCCATCTGTGATCTGGGACAATCGTTTTTTTTTTCAACCTCTTGTTTTTGTCAGACCCGGCAGCTGTCAGAAAATCTTAATTTATCTGAATTGAAAACATCTTTCACTCGTCAATGTGGGGGTTCTAATTTTTTAACAGGTCAGAATCTGTATACCGTTCCACCGGTCACTCCCTCAACCCATAAGCACTTTTTCTCTGATTAAGATTTCGTTTTCATTGTTCCCAAAATTTCCCTTTATCCAAATTGATAAGGTGTCTTTCTACGCAAAAAGTAGGCTAGATGCTTTGACCGATATCTGGTTTTCATCAAGCGGCCCTTTTTGATATCATGTCTTTTCCCTTTCTTTCTTTTTATTATTTCTAATTCTATTCTTCCAATTGTCTTTAAAAAATTCGGTCAACATGCTAGCTAAGATATATTTCTGACTCTTGTTTTTGTTAATGACCGCTTTTTTGTATTTCTCGACCTCTCTTTCCCTTCCTTCTTCTTCCTTTAGGATCGTCCAAGTACAATCTTAGTGAATTATTTTCAACTCAATTATTTTCCGTTTTAAAAAAAATCAACAACCTGTTT